ACAGAACTCTGTGAATGAGTGATGTGGCCCTGTGGGCAGAGCCCCACACAGCCGCGCTTTTTTAAAATCTGACAGCACGGGGAAACTTCTGCACGTACTATCTGTCAGAGGAAGAAGGGCGACGTTACACCCTAAAAACGGGTGGAACATGTAACATGTTCCCAAAGGTGAACTTGTCCTTCAAGTGAATTCAGCAACTGAAAAAGTCCTAAAGCCGGTGGATCAGCATGACAGGGGCAGGGCAAAGCTTGGTATACTGAAACAACTGAGATTTGCTCCATAATTTAGCAGCTTTTATCTCCAAACCTTTTGGTCTTTTTGACATATGTTTTTGCAGCACTAGGGTCATTTGTTCGAATCCCAACCATGGCATTACCTGCATGGAATTTGCATGTTCTCACTGTCTGCATGGGTTTCCTCCAGGTACTCCAGTTTCCTCTCACACTCCAAAGACATGCTGGTAGGTTAATTGGCTCCTGTCTGAATTGGCCCTAGTATGTGTATGTATGAATGTGAGTTAGGGACCTTAGATTGTATGCTCCTTTGAGGGTGAACTGATGTGAATGTACAATAAATGCGTGTAAAACGCTGTGTAAATTGACGTCACTATATTAGTACCTTAGAGAAAGGAAATGGTTTTAACCACTTATTTTGCAGTTTTTGTTATTATATGTTCAGTTTGAATTACCCATGTTTTTAACAAGGTTACTTTGTGAATATTGAAAATGTAGAGTGCTAAGGGTGCAATGGTTTACAATACTGTGTCCTCATATAACTGGAACTACTGCTGTGTTTTATTTAAAGCCGTATTACGCACAACACCAAAAATGTAATATATTGCAGCTTGCCAATCGGATGTGGTGGCTGCATTCATTTTTGTTTTGTTTTTTTGCTTTTTTCTCCTCTGCTTTCACCTGGCGATTTGGCCAGTAACATACCATCAGTATTAGTGAGACACCAGTTTGGATGAAGGAGCACAGGAGGCACTGCATATTGTCAGTCTGAGGGTTAGGGGAGTGTTAGGTGCACTAACATCCAGAGTGGGGACATTCTAATATAGGAGGTGTGTTGCTGGCCAGACCACCAGGTAATTAAGGGGAAAAAGCCTGAAAAAAAGAAAATGAATGCAATCACCATGTCGAATGATTGATCGGTAAGCTGCAAGCTGGTTTTGGGTTTTAGGCTACGTTCACACTAGCCTTCTGTGCAGGCGGCAGAGAGGCGTTTGGGAAGCGTTTTTACCGCTTCCCAAACGCCTCTGCCAATTCTGCACATTACAGCACATGGTGCTGTTCTAACAGGAGCAAAACGGACGCCTCTGGTCGAGTCAGGAGGCTTTGAAGCCTCCTATTCTCGTCTATGGTGCCGCTCCGCAAACGCCCGGCCGGCGTTTTGCGGTGCGGTTGCGACGCGGTTGCGGGGTGTTTGCGGAGCGGTAACACCACTCAAATGCATTATAGGCGTTTGTGGGGCGTTATTAACGCTCGGTAAACGCCTAGCAACCGCCGCTAAACCGCGCATGCGGCGTTTGCGGAGCGTTTGCCGAGCGTTAAAAACGCTCCGCAAACACCGGACCAACGCTTGCCAAACGCTATAGGGGCGTTTGGCAAGCGTTGGCAAAACAGCCTAGTGTGAACGAGCCCTAATACTGTTTTAAACTCTAAATTTACTGCATTAATCAGTGGCTAATATGGTACAAGATTGCCTTTTATTTAAATGGCCAGCACTGTTAGCTGTACAATAATATGAATTTAATTTAGACTATGGAGAACAACTGTAAATAGTTTGAATGGGTTAAACCAAAAGACACAGACAATAGTAAAACCAGAGCTAGATAATAGGCAATTTATGAGGTGCAAATAAGTCCTAAAAGTGATTTATGGCATGTGTCTGTATTGAAGAGGTCAGCTCAGTAGACAGTGAAGGCAGCCCCTAGACACTGGCTCTGGGTAACAGAATGTGGGGCAGACGGTACAAGGTGTATTCACAATTAGTGGTCTGGAAACAGTTTACCGCTTATTAGATAGTCCATGTTTTCAGCAAGGCTTTATTTTGTTCTCCCGACAAGTAAAGCACCACCTTTTTGTATTTTATTAGCTGAATTTTTTCCTTTTGGTCTGCTCAGATATTGTGGCATGCTTTTCTATTACACAGATATCCCGCCCCATGTGTTTCTTTGCATTTGAAAAGCAGTTTCCAGATTGGAGGCCGTAAGTCATGTTGTATGACATTCACAATAGTGACCATGTGGCTGCCTCTCTGAGCATCAGAGGCTTTCTCATGAACATCAGGAACACATTTCCAGATTAGAAGATTTCTCTAGTCTGTAGATTGAGATGCCTCAAACTGTTGTCAGACGGCAGAGCTTGTGATCATTTTTCAGATTTGCCGGCTGTTACAGATTTCTAGGGACAATACTTGACTTTAAAGATTTGTCCCTGGAATTTAATGTCTGAATTTCTCTCTTTTGACCATTTTTTGATTCTTCTATTGGATCTGGTACATCTTGGCTGTATTAAAGTACATTTTTTGTTTTTTAAATAACAAACATGTCATACTTAGCTGCTCTGTGCAGTGGATTTGCTGGTTCCCCGCTGGTGATTCTGGCCCCTCCTGACTGCTGAGTGCCCCCACAGCAAGCAGCCTGCTATGGGGGCACCCAAGCAGGCTCGACACACACACATACACACACACACACACACACACACCTCTTCTTCCTCCTCTTTGGCACGAGCCAATGGCTCCTGCTGCTGTCTCAGCCAATGAGGAGGGAGAGCCCCGGACAGCCGAGGCTGTCATGCACATCGCTGGATTGCAATGGGGCTCAGGTGAGTATTAGAATAGAATGCATGAAGGTAAAAAAACCTTCTGCCTTTACAACCACTTTTAAATTATATGTAAACCCTCACTTTGTAAAACAAATCATTCAGTTTAAAATAGAAATGAAGGGCAACACATATGTGTAAAGATATTAAAAACTTTAAAAAGAGCTAGGGGAGGAAAAATGGCAGAACACTTATCTTTTTAGTGAATGGCTGTGCGGGGGTGGGCGTATCAGGACAAGTCTGATCATTGGAGGAGAGCAAGCTGTAGAGAACTGACCACACTGTGCTCTCCTGCCTAGTGTTGTCAATTTTTAATAGGAAAGCAGCGGGACTGGCAGGAACACCAGGGATTTCATACAAAGGAAGCAATACAAAGAGAACAGGATACTTTTTCACACAGGTACATCCGGCATATATCATGATTATTAAATTTTGGATGACATATTCTTTAAACGGAACATTATTAGGGTGGAACATGTTTTCACTCCTACAGCTGCTTGGGGATCCAAGCACCTGGTGTGACAGCAGTACGGGTCAAAGTTCCCCATATCAGCTGTCACTTTTTGAAAGGAACTGGGGCATGTGGGGCTCCGCCCACATGGTTGCCTAATTTGTTCACAGAGTTCTGTGAATGAACAAACTACAAGTACCGACATCCTCTGCGGCTGTTGTCTTGTAGTTCTGAAAGAACTACCATGGCACTGTTGAGCTCTGTGGTAGTTCATTGATTTCTTCCTGTCAGTGTGAAACTGCTTGCCTGTACGATGTATGAGCAGAGCAATTAAACTGACAGTGTGCAGGAGAGCTGCGGTGACGCTGGTGCATTGCTTTCCAGGCTCCTGGACAAAAAAAAAATAGTAAATGCACATTTTTTTTCTCCTACAATTAAATGTGCATTTATTTTTTCTTCTTATCTTTTTTTAAAGGTGAACTTATCCTTAACCTTCCTAGCGGTAATCCTGAGTGTGGCTCGGGGTTAATTTTCAGTACCAAAAGTGGTAACCCCGAGCTACACTTGGGATTCCTCCATAGTGCTTCTCCTGTTCCCCCCCCCCCCCCCCCCCTCCGATCCCTACCTTGTCCTGCGATCCCACAGTGTCCTCCAGCCATGTCCTCCGGCTGATGCCAGCATCCATCTTCCAGGTTACTCCGTTCCCTGTGAGCGTCGGTATGCACGGGGGCGGAACCGGCAGGAAATTAAAAAAAGTAAATATATTACATACACACAATACATTGTAATCTGTTAGGATTACATTACTGTATCAAACCATTTCACCTAAATGTTATCCCTAGTGCTTTGTCCTGTGACCTTCCTGCACTTTTACTGTTCTTTCTGCCTGGAAACTTGAGAACGTCCATGGCATCCAAAAAGTGTCCCCTTAGGTCAAAAGCGATTTTAGACCAGCTAGAAAACAGTGATTGTGAATTAGAATCACTTGCAGAACTGAGTGATAGTGATTCGTGGGGAAATTCGTCATCAGACACTTACATTATTGAATTAGATTTATTATTAGATTATTATTTTTTATAATTATTATATTATGTTTTATGATTTTGTGTGTTTCTCATACCCGGGATGTTTACTAGACTCTTGTTTGGACATATTTAAGCGAGTTATTCCTAAGAATTACAGGCCTACAATATATATAAAACAACAAATTTCCATTCAAAACAATGTACCGCTTTGACATTCAAAAATATTGATTAGTTAGATCTCTAGGGAGGTTAAACCTTTGATTGTCTATTGGCTGTGAGTAATCCCAAAAAGAGAAATTTCTATACCAGCTCAGGGGATTTGTACTAGGCTTTTTAGTTGGCCTCTATCCTGCATAATTGGTTTACACTTATCAGGTAGAAATTGAATGGGCACGTTTTAGTTATGGTTGGAGGGCGTTCCATGGTAGAGCACTCCTTTTTTAAAGGTGAATTCTGGCATAGTAGAAAAATCTACCCACCGCAGATCACCTTTCAGAGGGGCAGCAATATGTAAACTTAGCCTAAGAAAAGCCACCTAAAGCACAGTGGAGGACTGAATGCTGTCACCTGAGTGTTACGCTGTTGTTTTTTTTTTTTTATTGGAAAAGAATTGTATCTATCAGGTTGTTTTCTATAGTTATTATGCTTATTTTGCACAGCATATTTTTTAAAATCTGCCTCAATATTGTGTTTCTTTAGGACAACGTTAGTACATTCTGTCTTTCCATTCCAAGGATGCCAGTTTCCTTTGACTCTGGTAGATGTGGTATGCAGGCCTTCACCCTGTTCACAGATCAATGAGACGCTTCCAGGCAGGGTTGGTGCGGTCACCTCATCTGGCAATGACTGTGCTACTATAACGAGGAAACCTTTTGTGAAGTAATCATCTTCATCCTGACTTTACAAAACGGATTTTCAAGCATGCTTCAAAATAGCCCAGAGATATCGTTTTTCATCGTTGGTGACACCTTGGACTTGATGTGATTCCTTTTATTACACTTAGGAACTTTTCATAAGCAAATTCCCAGAATAGAAGAATCTCGTCCAGGCGGACTGTCAAGCTGAGCTTTTGTATAGCGTATGTCTTGCAAACGGCGTATGCCATTTTGGATGCTATCCATGCAAGTCAACTTGCTTTAAAACATTTTTTTTCTTTTTCTATGTTAATCACATGCCTCACACCTGTCATTTTTCATCCCGTATCTGCTTATAATGTGTTACATTAAATATACAGATTTCTAGCTGGTAGTGTGAATATACTGTATATTGGCAGATGTTTAAGGTGGACAGGTAAAGCTTGTCTTCCGACAAAGCGACATTCCTGAGCTTTAATTCTTTGTATTCTTCACCGTCCATAAATTTGCAGTGTAATAGGAACACTCGGGAACAACTGTTGTGTATTGTGTCTTAATTAGAATGAACAAGAATCAAGTGTCACTAAACTCTGGTTGAAGCCTAGTAGACATGATCAGAAAATCATATGAAAAATACCGCTTTCAAAGCGATCGTATGATAATCTGATTGTTAGTACACAGCTTTTGTTTCGTATTCAAAGGGACAAGCACAAAAAATATACTCGTATGATACTAGATTGTGTGATTTTCATTTAATCAGTACAGTTTTCATCCAAAAAATACATTACATCACTTCTGAATTTTATTCTGTTGTAGAAGAATTAAATTGAGTAACCTCTTCATTTTCGATATGGAGACTAGCATGCAGAAAAGAAAAAAAAAAAGGTCCATCATTTCCCTGATATTCTCATCGTATGCAGTGAGCTTTAATTTTATTCAGGTATGTATTTCTAACTCCGAGTACTTGCTGTTTCTCTCAGCCTCCCCCAAATTTCCAAATTCCATTTTTTTGGCTGTTACAATTTGACTTTCTGTTAGAGGGTGGTTACATTTTTCTTTTCCATGGTCCTGGTTAGGAATGTAGCCACTCAGCTTTGCAGGTACTGTGATGAACTGTGGACCATGAGATTTCTTTTGTGCATACAGTGTGCATTCAACTAGCATGCACTCCTCGTTACAAGTGAAAGTGAGGGAGAGGAGGAGAGGTTCAGGAGCTCATGGAGTATGTTACAAGGAAGCAGAAAGACACAGTAAGACATGATTTATGAAAAATAGTTTGCAGGGCCATTAAAGTGATCATAAAAGATCTACTTTTTTTTAATAACAAACATGATATATACTTGCTTTGTGCAATAGTTTTTCACAGAGTAGGCCTTATCCTTCTCTACTCGGTTGCCCCGCTGGCGCTCCTGGCATCTCCCCCCATTATGTTCCCACCATGGTAGGCCGCTTGCTATGGGGGCACTTGTGCTGGCTCGATCCTGAGCTGGCTCTGTGTGTCCATGCCCCCCCTCCCTCACTGTCTCCTAACTGTCTCTGAGCCTATGAGGCTCAGGTAAGTTTTTTTTTTTTTTTTTTTTTTTTTTTTTTTTAAACCGTAATGCATAGAATGCATTACGGTAAAAAAAAACCCTTCAACCTCTAGAACCACTTTGTTGTGGATGTGTATGGATTATTTTTGGAGAAAAATGGTATAGTTTAGTATCACTTTATAAAAAAACAAAAAAGAATCAAGACTTTAGTATGTAGTGTGTGCTTGCGTGTTTGTTTGTTTTTTTTTTTTTTGGTTTGTTTGTTTTTTGTTTTTCAATTTGGTCATAGTCATGTGCACACAAAAAAAATAGCTTCAGTTCCAAAACAATTTAGCAGTAAATCCAATAAATTAATTTTACACTAATTTTCTCTTTGCCAGGGAATGAAATTCCTTCGGGCTGATGGACAACATGATTACTAGGTCATGGGCTTTTTGGGGCTGTTACTTTTGTTTTTCTCACATTCCAGGCACAGATAGCCCAGATTGTGGCAATAACTAGGATCCATTTCATTATCTGGATAATGGCAGAAGTTGGTCCCTTATGGAAACTTTGTCAGCACTACCTTGACAATGGATGGCTAAGCGCCTGAATCTTTTATTCTTTGGGGAAATAAAAATTCATGACATTTTCCTCTGCAATCTGTTGTTCATGTGCATTTATTATACTTCTGGCTGGCATTCAAATATTTGTGTGCCCACCTATTTATTATTTGCATGTGTTGCTTGGTTTCATGTGGCAACCTCAAATATTCATTAGCTGACATTTGGCACATTAGAATTGTCTTTGTGCCAGTAATATATAATGGTACGCTCATAGATGAATTTAATATCTTGTGTCTGAGTTTTCCCAGCTAACCACTGGCGATTAGTAACAAGGGTGACAGCGGATTGACTGTACCAGTATAACCCTAAAATAGCAGGTTTTCCTTTGTTTGTGACTGTGGGAACAGCAGCTTAAGGCGATCACTAATATCAAATTGGCAAAGGGGGTCCCTTGGAAACAAGACCATAAATACCTCCCACCTTTCCTACCATGCACAGCACCAAACACCATGTTAATTAAAAAGAAATACCACAAAAAGATTCCTTAGAACCACTGAGCTCAGTGAGGGACCAAGAAATGACACCCCGAAAATATTGGAGACTTCATTTGGTGATTTCATTTTGGAACATTAACCACTTGCCCTCCAGAGGATTTACCCCCCTTCCTGACCAGGCCATTTTTTGCTATACAGCGCTATGTAAAAAACATAAAAAAAATAAAGTTTTGTCACAAATTTAGACTAAAATGTATTCTGCTACATGTCTTTGGTAAAAAAAAAAAAAAAAAAAAATCTCAATATGTTTAAATTAATTGGTTTACGTGAAAAATATAGTGTCTACTAATGGGCGTATATATACTGGAATTTATTATTATTATTTTTTTTAATACTGGTAATGGCAGCGATCAGCGACTGATAGTGGGACTGCGGCGGGCATTCTGACACTGGATGGGAACTAACAGCCACTGACATCCCAATGACACGAATATAGTGATCAGTGCTAATAAAAAGCTGGTGACTAATGGCACTGGGCATAAAGGGCTTAACCTTTTGGGCGATCAAAGTGTTAACTGTGTACTGTGTGCTGTTTTACCTTGGAGACATGCTGTTTTGTACTTCTCTGCCATGCAGAGAAGTACAAAGCAGCATTTCCTTGCTGGCAGAAGAGATACCTGTGTTGTGTACACACAGGTCTCTCCCCTGTCAGCTTTGCACGGCGATTGCTGGGTACTGGCGGGGAATCCCTGGCTGGGACCTACCTAGTGATTGACAGGCCTAGCTGCCAATACAATACATATATATATTGTAATGTGATTTTGCGCAGCCCTGTAGCAGTATTTCTGCTATGGGGTGGCGGACAAGTGGTTAATGTTTAGTGGCATATAAAAAGGGATAGGAGAATATTTAGTGTCTTCTTTCCAGGTGGCTATTTTATGTTTGCCCATTTTTGTTTTAAATATAGCCACTACAGCCCTGGCCAAAAGTTTTGAGAATGACACAAATATTAATTTTCAAAAAGTCTGCTGCTTCAGTGTTTTTAGATCTTTTTGTCAGATGTTACTATGGTGTACTGATTATAATGCAAGCATTTTATAAGTGGCAAAGGCTTTTATTGACAATTACATTACGTTTATGCAAAGAGTCAATATTTGCAGTGTTGACCCTTCTTTTTCAAGACTTCTGCAATTCACCCTGGCATGCTGTCAATCAACTTCTGGGCCACATCATGACTGATGGCAGCCTATTCTTTACATAATCAATGCTTTGATTTTGACAGAATTTGTGGGATATTGCTGTTCATCTGTCTCTTGAAGATTAACCACAAGTTCTCAATGGGATTAGGGTCTGGAGAGTTTCCTGGCTATGGACCCGAAATTTGTATGTTTTGTTTCCCAAGCCACTTAGTTATCAGTTTAGCCTTATGGCAGTGTGCTCCCATCATGCTGGAAAAGGCATTGTTCATCACCAAGCTGTTCTTGGATGGTTTGGGAGGGAGAAGTTGCTCTCTGGGGATATTTTTTTTTACCACCTACTCCCTTGGCTGAGAAGCAAGCCCATGCGTGAATGGTCTCAGCATGCTTTTCTGTTGGCATGACACAAGACTGGTGGTAGTGCTCACCTTTTCTTCTCTGGACAAGTTTTTTTCCCGATGCCTCAAACAATCGGAAAGGGAATTCATCCGATAAAATGACTTTACCCCCATCCTCAGCAGTCCAATCCCTGTACCTTTTTACAGAATATCAGTCTGTCCCTGATGTTTTTCCTGGAGAGAAGTGCCTTTGCTGGCCTTCCTGATACCAGGCCATCCTCCATAAGTCTTTGTCTCACTGTGCGTTCAGATGCACTCACACCTGCCTGCTGCCATTCCTGAGCAAGCTCTGCACTGGTGGTGTCTCGATCAAACAGATGAATCAACTTTAGGAGATGGACCTGGTACTTGCTGGACTTTCTTGGGCATCCTGAAGCCTTCACAACAATTGAACCTCTCTCCTTGAAGTTCGTAATGATCTGATAATTGGTTGATTTAGGTGCAATCTTAGTAGCAGCAATATCCTTGTCTGCGAATCCCTTTTTTTTTTTACAAAGCAAGGATGACTGTACGTGTTTCCTTGCAGGTAAGTTTTTAATATTTGTGTCATTCAAAAAAGTTTTGGTCAGGGCTGTAGACTTGTGCTTTTCCCATGGTCCAGTCGGCAACGTACCTATTGCTTGTTCCTATACTAGTCCTCCGATGGCTGCTAGTGTGAAGAGAGGAAGCTCTGCTGTAAGCTCCAATTCATGAAGGGCACAGAGCTGAAAACTCTGTCCCTTCTTTCTTGTTAGAATACTGGGTGCTTAAGTGGCCAGTAAGCAGCAGTGTTGTCATGGGGA